ATGTCCTTTGGGAATCTCTCGTTGTGGGTTCAGCTCCAATTACCTAGATAATTCAAAGATGCTAGTCAAATGTGATTACACAAATCTTTTAAAACAGATTTTGGAAAATTATAGCAAAAACTGGTCTTTGATTGAATGGAGAGAGAGAGAGAGAGAGAGAGAGAGAGAGAGCGAGAGGGCTAGATGATGGCTGATTGTGAAACGAAGTTGTCTATAATCGACCAAAATCATGAAAATCACAGGAAATTAATAGAGATAAACCACAAGTTTAGGTTTTGGTTGGCGTTGGTGTTGGTGTTGGTGTTGGTGTTGAACACCGCCTGTTTTTTTCTCACCGTAAAATATACTGTTTTTTAATCTATAATGAAAATTTAAAAAATCAAAGTGTGTGAATCAATTTCCTAAGTAAATGAAAGTATTGGGCCTAATTTGCTCATATAAACTACCAAGTGTGGGCTTTTAGGTTAAGGTAATACAGGCCCAATAGGTAACAAATAAGAGTAATCAACCAACGAGCCGTCCAAGAATTTTGGTTGGGCGATAAGCAACACTAGAGATCCGTTTGATTGCAAATGTATAAAATTGATGGAAAGAAAATAAATGATAGAGAAAGTAATTGTTTAGAAATTGTTTTGTAGAGAATTGTTAATTAAGTGTGTTTGATTGATATAATTTTACACCTGTAAAATTTTTAAATTTAGGATTTTTTGTGTTCGTTTGGCTTTGTTTTATATGAAAATTGTCCATTAAACTGATAATTTTTTTCATATTTAGTTATAAAATTTGTTTCCATTACCAAAAAGTAAAAAAAACGAAAAACGAAAAAAAAAATTCCTAAAAGAATTATTTTTTTATCAAAATTTAGTGTTCGTTTATCTTTGTTTTATATGGTTGTTGTCCATTAAAGTGAAATTTTTTTTACAACTGGTTATGAAATTTGTTTTTACTGCCAAAAAAAAAACTACAGCAGCACCTGGAAAAACTTTTCCCACCAAAAATGTGGGAAAAACTTTTCATCAATTGGCAAGAAATCAAGCGCGTGGAGAGGTAAAGTGGAAAAACATTTGCCTAGAAAAAATGCCATCAAACAAGTCAAATGGATAGAAAAATGGAAATAATTTTCCATGGAAATCATTTAAGTTATCAAACAGGGCCTAATTTAATTAGGCTACTTCGAATGGCCCCAATAAGTTGAGAACCGGTTTGTCAATTGTGGTATCGATATTTCACTTCACTTATCGGCCAATGCCTATGAATAATAATTCAATAAACATGTTTAACATCATCACTCGAGATTTATTGGGTATCAAAACCCAACAAGAGTGAAGGAAACTGGATGGTAAGGAGGAGCAGAAATAGGTTTTTAAGCAGAAGGAAACGAAATTTAATTAAGATGATTTTATGTTCTGTCAAGTCCATTTTAAAGATTGGTTAATTTAAGGGCGTTTAATGCACATTATTGAGTGGAGAATCCATTTTAAATAGCGATTTGATGGAAAATATGTTATTAAAAATAAGGAAAAATTTTTAATTTTCATGTAATATTAATTTATTGAAGAATGTATAGTTTAAATGAATTTTGAAAAAATGATTATTGTAAGAACGTGGATCAAACCGTGCTCAAGGGTAAAACAGAGAGAAAAATCACTGTACAGTTGGCAGATTCTAACCCGTTTCCTCTTGGCTCTAGCCGCTGTGTAACTACTACAAGATATTTGTCCT